TGAACTTTGTCTCCCTGGGGGTGGGGTGGAAGGGCTTATTTTGCAATGCCTCATTAAATATTTCAGGGTTTTGCTTTCACCAAAGAAAATGTTCTTCTCAGGCAAGGTTTTTTTTTGTTTTTTGTTTTTTGTTTTTAGTATTATCTATTCTTTTATTTGTATCTCAGCTATCCATTCAAGTATTATTTCTATGACCTTCAAAGTATCCAGGCAATTACATAGTCCTTAAGAACACAGATCTTTCCTTAAAGTAAAACAAAACACACAAAAAAGTGTAAATTTTACTGAAACTTATTAAAATAACTAGATATATATTTATTTGTAAAGCTTTAAGAACCACTTTGTGGTGTTTGTAAGGTCAAATTATAAACTGATAGCTTTAGAAAATCTATATAGTTAATATTCTTCAATATAAAATGCAATTATTTATTTCATAAAATGGAGTTTAATTCAACTTCACATTTATGTTTGTGTGATTGGTAGGTGCTGAACCCAGAAGTAAATGTATGACGAGTTCCTTTCCTTGGGGAGTTCCTAGTCTTTTTGATTATGGACTTGACTACTTGCTTGCTTTTCTCTCTGCTCCACTAGATTATGATTAATGCTTAGAGGAGAAAGTGACTGACTCTACAGGGAGTTCAAAGTTGGATGTGTCATTCTAGAAGTTGGTTCTTGAGGGATAGTAAGAATTTGGATGAGGAGGGAGGGAGAGATGGGCAGGATATTCTTGTTTTATTTTGTTTTTTGAGACAGGGTGTTGCTATGCAGTTCAGGCTGGCCTTGAACTCACTATGTAGCACAGGCTGGTCTTGAACTCTCTGTGATCTACCTCTTGAGTATTGAGACTACAGGTGTGTGCCACTACTCCTAGCATGACATTCTTAGTTGAGAGGAAAGGACACTACAGAAGCATTAGCAAGGAAAACAATTGTTGAGATTGATCAGCAGCTCTGTGGAATGACAACACCTGTGTTCATTTTGAGAGGCGAGGGGGTGCAAATGAGGAGGAAGAGGCCGGAGGGTGCAAGGTTCTTTTTTTTTTTTTTAACCTCTATGGAGTTTTGATTTTATCTGTAGATGTTTAGTTGTTTGAGAACCACAGAAAAGTGAAAAGATCAAATTTGTGTTTTGATAACTTCAGGGTCAACAGTACAGCGGTTAGACCTTAGTGAAGCACTTTGGACTGGAGATATGCTAGGTAAGTCCTCTACCATGAACTACACGGTTTTTTTTTTTTTTTT